CATTGTAGGTATTCTGACAAAAAGAGTCCAATCACCGTTTCTTCTTTCCATTTCTCTTTGGGGAACAGGATATCAGCAAAAATCAAGCTTACAGTGGAGTCCACCATAAGTCGTTATCAGAACCTGCCATATGCTCAAAAGTATTATCACTGGTCACATGAATGACAGGACACGCTGCTGTTTTCCTGTCACGTTCGATGCTGGCTGAGAGAGCCTTCAGCCATCTCGCTCACACTGAACGTCTAAGAAGGTGATCATCTGGCCTTGAGATACAACCACTCATTTCATTTCTGTATTTTTTAATTTAAAACATTTTTAATGTTTCAATTAGAGTTGACATTCAATATTATTTTATAAAAACACAGCAGCTCCTTTTAATCTATCTCTGATCAATCCAGAAACTTATTCCATGAGAGCTCCATAAACTGATACTTTTAATTTTTTTCCCATACCTTTCTAGAGGTCTTTTCAAAGAGTCTCTTTCACTGGCATCATCTACGACAACAATTTCTTCTAGCCTGTGTCTTAGTGAGCGATTAATGGCCCTATGGACAGCTCACAGAAGGACACTCCGAGCCTCACTGTGGCAAACTACCACCACACTTGCCGTAGGAAGATTATCTGGATATATCCTTCTTTTATACCTTCTAACGTATCATCTGGTAAAGACTTGTGGGGTGCAGTCATCTCACTGGCCATTTAATTGAACTGATTGACTTTAAACATCTCTTTCAGCTTTTCCTGATCCTCTTCGTGAGTGAGAACCAGTTTCCCGTTTCTCCAGGACCTTCATGAGGCCTTTGTGCTGGCTTTAGAACAGCCGGGCAGGAAGGCCTCTCTCCTTTTCTCCACGTTCGTTGCATTCACTGAAGTGAAGCGGCAGGAACGCATCCAAGAGAACCCAAACCAAGGAGGAGGCTAGGACCACCTTGCAATGTACAAATTTTCTCAGGGCGCTTTTAGTCAAATGCAAAATTAAAATGCGCACACACACACATAAAGATCATGAAAAGTTCTCCAACCAAGTTTCATCAGAAATCATATTCATAACCCCAAAGTAGTTTTGCAAGTGGATTCCTATCCCAAACTCATATCTCCTTGGTCCATGAGAGGCGGCGGGGGCCTCTCTGGGCTGGTCCCTGTGACACTCTTGCCACCATGGCATGGGCTCTACTCTTGGTCCACCGCTCCACCCCCTTGGCCACTGTCTGAGTTCACTAACAATTTTCAAATGAGGTGTTGATAAGTCAGGGATCCCCTGTAATAAAGCGCAACAGAAAACAAAATGCCCTGATAAATTCACATTTCTGCCAGTTGCTCATGTGCTTAATAAAGAGCGCGAATTGGCACAGGAGCACCTACCTGCAGACGTTCTGAAAGTGACTCAATCATCCTTCACATTCCTATACTTTTATACCAACTGTGTGTTGAAGAGATGTATTTAGTCATTCAGAAATTATTAAGCGATTCGGGTTAGCCTATGACCACAATTCTGCTAACTGTTCTACAATCAAAGCTCATGTTTGAAGAACCCTCTCTATTTTCCAGAGTCTGGGCAGGGAAGAGGCCGCGGACACTTACAAGTGAGCAAACTCGGTCCCTTTCCGCTCTTCTGCCAGGGGTGGCTGTCCCAGCGACAAAACGCCATCTCAGGCACACCGCCCACACAGCGTAGGTCCCGCCACTGGCCACTGGCTGCTTGGCCAGAGGAGGTGCGGGACGCGGGTGTTCGTGAGGGCGAGGCCGACACGCGGTGAGGACCCGGGCGCGGGGAGGGGGCCCCGGCCTGTGGGGAGGAGCCGACGAGTGGGTCGCAGGGTGACTCGCCCATCAGTGGACTCCGTTTGCCCCGAATCCAGACCTGGGCCTGCAGCTGCTGGGGGTGGAGGGACTCGTCTCCACCCTGCGTGGACGGCCACGTGACCCCACGTGACTGTGCGCGCCTTCCCGCCTGCCACTCACGTGACCCGCAGAGTCTGCGTGGCTTCTCGTGCACGCGGACCTTGCCTTTTCAGGAAGCCCCTGAGAGGAGCTTCTCTAGGCTTCCCATGTGCCCGGGGTGCTGAGGCTGTCTGTGTACCTCAGCATCCCCAAGAGGGTGCGCCAAGGGACCGCCATGGGAAAAGGTGAGGACCACTGTGGGCAACGACGGCTGGAGGGTGAGGGAAGGGTATCAGTCTTCAGAGGACCCAGCAGAGGAATTTTGGGGTTTCTTATTTTTACTTTTTCTGGTGTAAGGTAGTGAGTACTGAGCTTAGGTTTATCTATTTTTTGCTTTATAATGCAGAGGAACTAACGATATTTGGGTCTATCAGAAAGCAGAGGAATTTTGGGGTTTCTTATTTTTACTTTATCTGATGTAAGATAGTACTGAACATAGGTTTACCTATTTTTTGCTTTATAGTGCGGAGGAACTAACGATATTTGGGTCTATCAGTATCCTTGTATCAGGGAATTGCTTCTACCGTAATTCCAGCCTGCCTTTCCCCCCAGGCTAACAGCTAACTGATGGAGAGGTTCTGCCTAAACCAACAGATTTGGAGATTTTGGCTCGCTCTTAGATGCCACCTCTTTCCTCGCCCCTCCTCCTTTCGCGGGAGAGGAAAAAATGCTTGGGCTTAAAGGCCCACTTAAGATGATTTGAGAAAACCAGAAAGCTCCCATCTTGTTATGGTGCCAGCATGAATGGCCTCGGCACTGCTAGCTCCTGGAAAGTGCCCCATCTGAGAAATCATATGTATCGGCAGAAGTAAACAATATTTTTGTTTATCCTGTCAGCCTTTTTGGTCTGTTTCTTCAGGGTTTGGGAGAATTTAGAAGTGCTGCCAGTCTTTTTCCTCTCTGATACATTTAGACTGGTATAAAAAAAAATATTTGTGAAGCTAGCTAGTTGGACTTAGTGACTCAAGATTTTCTTTATTGAAACATTCCTCCCAGAGATGGTCATTTTTTTTTCTGTGTCCGTGTCTTTTGTGTTTGTTATAACAAGGAAATATCATAGGGATAGGAAGACTTTGGCTTCCTTGGCTAAGCTGTAAAAAGTCTTATTGGTTTAGGATGCTATTAAAATCCTACCATTAATGGGTGGACTATGAATTCCTTGAATTAGAAAAACTTTTAAATTGGAAAATGTTTTATAGAACTCTCATGATAAGCAATTGTTTTATTGGTCCCTAGAGAAAGACCACATTTTTAAAAACAAATGGGTATAAGCGAATTTAACTATTCTTAAGCTTTGAATTAGTTCTTTAGCTTCTTGGGTTTTACACATGGTAATATCAACATTAGTATAAAAAGGCAGAAGGGAAAGCAAAAGATTTCCCAAAAAGGTGGAAATTTTTAAATTTATTGATATATAAGATTATGAGTATTATGAGAGATCAATTGGTATTGATCTCTTGGTCTGGTGGGAGGGAGTAAAGAATGGAATAAGTTATTGGTGTGTGTTTGTTTGTTAGGGTACAGCTTACCGTATTTGTTTTCCTGTTTTCCCCTCACAGTTTGGGTAAACTGTTAAGGGTATGGATAAACAGTTATTATCTCTGCAGGAATCTTCTTTCGTTCTGTAGGTTCCTCTGGTCTGGCCATAGGGCTGACCAGCCAGGCTCCCATTTCTAGTGGTACCTTGGCAGGTTCTGAAAACAACCTGGTTTAATATTTAGTCAATTTCTGTAGCTTCCTGCCTCTTCCCTGTATCACTATGTTGGAACTGGTTTTAAAGGATTTAATAACTGATTTTTGTCAAGAAATTGGACAAAAATGGAAGGTGATTTTTGAAAGTCTGATTGGAATTACAAAGAAAGTCTCAGAGTCTCCCCCAGACCCTCACAGCCCACAGCTGCCTGAGGCAGGCTGTGCTAAACAAAGGAAATATAACTGGAAAAGGGCCAATTTTAAAAACACAGACTTCGGTTGTCTAGCCTGGTTCCTTAAAAATTGTGAAGGACAAGTTAAAAAACCCTTAGCATGATCTCCTTAGCAGGAGATGGGAAGACTCCGCGCGGGAGCCGGGTAACCAGCCTTGGTCCTCCCACTCCATGTACCATAGTTTTCTGGGCTGCCTAACAAAACTTAAAATTCCCCGTCGCTGTCTGCAAGGTTTGGTAGAAGTTAGAGGTGGTGTGAATCCATTGTCTCGCTCGAAAATTTAGATTGGCAGTTAGAAATATTTGTAAAGCTAAATAGTGCTAGAGTTTTCTTTATTGAGTCCTTTCCTCCCAGAAATGGTCTTTTTTTTTTCTATGTCTGTCTTTTATGTCGATTGTCTTAAGGAAATGCCATAGGGACACACAGGCATAGGTTCCCTTAAGCTTGTCTCGTTCCAGCTGGCCTCACAAGCTGGAGAGATAAGTGATTCTCTCCAGACCAGAAAATAAAGTTCTGAAGACAAATGGTGTTTATATTTGCACAACAATGTAAATGCAGTTAATGCCCATAAAACTGTACACTTCAAATGGTTTAAACAGTAAATGTGGTGTTGTGTTTATTTAATCACAAGGGAAAAATAAATGAAGTACTGATACATGTCACCACAGGGATGAGTGAACACTGAAAACACCGTAAGTAAAAGAAGCCAGGCAGAAATGGCCACCCAGATCGGAGTCATCTGTGCAGCCCAAATCCATCAACATTGTGAAAATGTGGGAACATCTCTGTCAAAGTTCCAAAGAAACGAAATCAGATCAGAACAGAGAAAATCATTCTCTCACAGTTGGGACAGGTGGTGAAAGCTCAGGTGGGACCCTGGACTGGATTCTCACATGGAAACCATAACGCTTTCCTCCTCACAGGTGATGTGGCCAGTCATCCCGGGGATGGCACACCTGTTTGGGATGAAACGCCCCCGGGAGTCCTGCGTGTCAAATGGCAAATGCGATAAAGCAATGACAACTGAGGACTCATAGTGCAGAGAAAGAGAGTCTGCACTGCTGTTGCAAGTTTTCTGAACTTTTGAAATGACTAGAAGGTAAATGACTATTTGAAACAACCATGTCGACACCATGCCAGAAAAGCAGAGAGGAGAACCAAGTTTGTTAGCGGCCGAGCCCTTTGCAGACAGGTCCACCCGGAGCGGGAAGCACATCTCCCTCAGAGCAGACCCCGTGGTCATCAGAGGCACCGTGGGAAGACCAGGTTAGCAACCACTACGACTTAGGTGTCGAGAGGATGACCTGGGATGCGGTGGACGCAGTGAATCCGTTTGCCACATCACTCCACTAAGAAACTATAGTAACCGAAACGGTGGTATCGGCATAAAACAAACGCATAAGTCAATAGAATACAATGGAGCTGAAAAATCGAGCTCGCATAAATGGCGCTGGAACACTAGACAGCCGCACGCTAAAGGCCCCTGGGTGTTACCTTGCAGCACACAGAAAAATCAGCAATTGTCCACAGTAAGCCCTCGCTCTGCTGAGTCCTCAGAAGCCCGACACCCCACACTCAGCAGCGTTCCTTCACAGGAAGCTTCCCCCTACCTTTTCATCCCTGGGAGGGTACTGAGGTAAACCACATCCAGGCGCAGCCCCACCTTGTCCACAAAGCCACAGCACCTCCAGGGCTAATACTGCAGCACCTCAAATTCCTGCAGAATCGATGCCGTCATGGGACCAAGAAAGGGATCCTGGCAGCTCTGGCTCCCGGCTCTCTCAGTGCTTCAGGAAACTGGTCCCATAGGAAGTGCTCACTTAAACTGGGCCCGGAGGAAGTATACCTGGGAAGCGGTCTGGAAATACAGGAAACCAGTCTGCTGGAGGCGTTCCCGAGAACTCCAGCTGCCAGAAGTGCAACCCCTACCTCAGGCACCCCCTCTGCCGTCCACAGGCTGGCTGGAGCAAGGGTGGTGTACTCGCCTCCAAGTCTCATCTTGAACCTTGCACCTGGACCTCCTCTGCCCCTCACAATCTGGCAGGAGCCAGAATGGAGCATTTCCCTGTAGGTCTCTCCTCACCCACACTCAGCTTATGCCCCACGGAGAATTCGCCTTCGGGTCTCTCCTCCGACGGCTTCCAGTACCCCTTTAGCCTTTCACATACGAGGCTTGTGCTTGAAATTGTCTCCAAGTCTGTACTCCCTCTGTACCCCAGGCACCCCCTCTTCCCCTCACAGGCTTGGTAGAACCGGGATAGAGAAATTTCCTCCGGGTCTCTACTCCACCCTACCCAAGTGGGAAGAAAAAGAGTAAGGTTTTATGGAAAGTAGCCTCACATGATGTTAAGATCATAAATTCTTCTCCAGGCAGGTCCTGGTGGGTAGTCAGCCCTAGGCCTAAAACTTCAGCGAAAGGTTTGAAGCCAATCCTGTCGATCATCAGTGGTGCATCTAGGTAAAGATGCATTTCAAATGACAAAAGCAATACCCCTGAAGGGGGTATTAACCCTCCCGAAAGCACATAATCTTGTTAGCCGTCCTGTAAGCCATCCTTGCCTTGTTTTCCCGCACCTGCATGTAATCTTCCTTATGTTCCCTCTGCAACTTCAAATGCATTAAAGAAGATGCAAAATCGATTCTTCAGAGCATTTGAGATCTTGCTCCTGGGCAGATGTCTGGCTCATGTAAAAAGTTACAAAAATTCTCTACAGGTTTAGAAGTTTCTTACGTGGGCACTGGCACCCTCTGCTGCTCTCACTGATAGCAGCCGGACAGAGAAATTGAATCGTTTCAACCTTTCCACTACTATGAACGCTTCTATGAATATTCATAGATAAGTTCTTTTTTTTGAACACTCATTTTCAATTTTTCAGGGTCTATATCTCGGAGTTATATACCTATGGGAATTTTTTCTGAGGTAATGCCGGCTATCATACATACAGTCTGCAGCATTTGACATTGCAGAGGCAAAGTTTTAGGATTCAGGTTTCGGGTTTCGGGTTAGGGCCATCTTTAACAATGGAACAGAGAGGACTTTGACTGAATGGGCCTTGCCAAGTCCCTCCCTGTCTATCACACTCAGTACCTGATAAACTAGTTATCTCTGATGATAGCTCCATTCCTGGAGCGGGTCCTCGATCTAAATTCTTTCAGGTGATTAGGGGGAAGGTCAAAGGTTTTTCCTGGTTCTTTTGTTTATGAAAATAATCAGCTAAAATAATCAGTATCCTTCTAAAAAAAAAAAAGCATATATTGGGGTGGCAATTTCTGCTCCCCCTCAGTGTATTCATCTGCTCAGCCTGACAAATAAACTAACATACGAACAGATTTCAGCCCCACTGGGGATCCCCTGCATTAAAACCCGCATGGGCCCCCACGTCACAGCCTCCCCTGACCTATAGTATTAAGGACCCAGTTTCAAGGCTGGGGGCACCTGCTGTCACCACTGGGGTGACATGAAATCCGGCGTCACTCCAGCAGCATGGGGGTGAGGGAGTGGGGGACAGTGGCAACGTGTGTTGTGTCCCTCGGTTCTTCCCCACCTACGCAGCAAAGAATTACAGGTCGGCGAGGTTTAGAAAAAGTAAGAGTTATTGAAAGTACATTTTAGAAGGAGACCAGCAGGGCTAAGGAAGGCTGCAGCCCTGTGGAATTCAGGAGATGAAGAGATGAGACAGTACGCCCCAAAGGGAGGGGCAGGTTTCCAGCCAGGAGAGCTGTAACCGCCAGAAAGGGGAAGGTCTGTTTATATTTGGGCCGTGATGGGGGATCCTAGATGATCCGAATGTGAGGTACCCTTGACTGACAGTTGCTATATTAACTTTGCCCAGTGTGCAAAGCCGAGAATTCAGTGTTATAATTAGATTCATGAACTTCCAGTCATAATCACGATATTATAATGATGGTATAATGAGGCTGGAGTTATGGGCAGTACTTCCTGCACATGAGTTTGCAGCTGGTTTAGGCCAGCAGCTTTTATGGACTTTGTCCTCTAGGATTTGGGATAATTTATAACCCTAAAATGGAGATGTTTCTAGGAGGTACTTAAAGAAGGTCTTCTAGGGAAGTTTCTATGGTTACAGAGCTGGGCGTAAGGTCTTCTAGGGAGGGTTCGATGGTTACAGAGACGGGCCTTCACTCTTGTAGCACGAGCCTGAGGAACTGCCTAACACTTCTGCTCCATAATGCCTGGAGTTGGAGTCAGCGCTCAGGCAGCTTCCAGCAACAGAGCAGCCACCTTT